CGCAATACAGGGGGAAAACGAGCATTTCGATGCTGATGATGAGAATGACTTTCATAATGCCGCTTGCCTGGTGAAGGCTGTCGATAACTCCCGCTTCCCAAGCTTGCATGACGGCGCCCCGCGAAAATGGGCTGTCTCGTTTCAGGTATAACGCGCCAACAGCAAAGACAGTCAAATATCCGATGAGAATTGCCCAGAATCGATCCAGACCTGACCAGTATGCGAGGCCAGGATCCACCGGGGCCTCCGTGGTAACTTCACCTAGATCGATTATCCAGGAGCTCGGATCTGACAACAAGGAGGCCACACCAGTAAGAGTGGAAACAAAAGACTGAATCGTGGTTGAAGTCGCGGCAACAAACCGTCCATCAATCAGAGCGGTATAGTCGGGTTCGGTAAGAGCCTTGAGGCCACTGTCGACCTGGCCAAGAACCCAACCAATATTCTCTTTAAGGGCGTTCAAAGCCTCGTGGCTGACTGCTGAAAAATGTTGTACTTTAGGGGTAAACAAAGGAAACTCCATCATGAGACCATATTCCACAACTCTGGCCCCGGTTCCAGTCCATAGTCCCCAAGATGCCTTTCTGGCAGACACAATTTGCGCACCCATGGCGCCTCCAATAATGCTTGTGAACATGTCGACAATGTTCAGTGCACACCAAGCGCCAAATCCACCAATCATCATCGCTGCGTCTTGAATTACCTTGGAAAGACCCATGAGCATTCGAATAAGAAGGATAGGGTTGGAAATGATCAAAACGGAAGCGCGCCCTATATTATAAGGGATGCAAACGCAGGCAAATATGGTCATCGTGACGAGAACAACGCAGAAGATGGCGTTTTGGAACAGCCCTGCAATGGGACCACGCATGCCCAAAAGCTCCATTACCCCTTCGAAATCCTCAAGATCTTCCATAGCCTCAGCATCCATCCCTGCAGCGGCAGCGGCGGCGTCGACTTCGCCAGCATTTGGATCCACGTTGGCCTCTGCCGGTCCAGCAATAGGAACATCAACCCATGGGTCATCTGCCCCATCATCACCAGCAGCACCAGCAGCAACACCATTGACTGCGGGCTCTTGTTCTTCTGCCTCCTCGATGTCCTGCCGCTGGTCAAGATCGCCCCACATGAAGTTGGCGATACGACCGACGAATCCTCTCTGCTCCGGCACAGGGACAACTGGCTCGTCTGGAACAACGTGTGTGATATCGCTACCATGATCGATTGATGCAACATCATCGCCATGAGAGGAGTGCGGGGGACTGTCAGGAATGACGGTGCGGCGCCTCATCCCTGAGTTGTCACTTGGAGCTTGCCCTGTAGCTGGCGCTTCTGGCGTGTGGGGTTCTGACATCAATCCTGGGACAACCTCATTTGCAGCAGGAAGGCTGTCAAAAGTCCAACTGTTATTCGCCAACGGATTTGTCATGTTACTGGGCTCGGGGCCATCGGATCGAGCTCGGGGCCTAGATGGGCCAGAGGCGATGTCGTAGTCCGGTGCCATATGGCCAGGCGATAAGTCTGGGGATATCGGTAACCATTCCCTCTCTTTACCCTTGGAGTTTCTTTGCCTAGCTTCCTGTTCATCTCCTGACGGCAAAGGCCGACTCCAATCATTGGACTTGTTGGAATCCAGAGCTGGAGAAAATGGCGGCAAGGATTGGACAGGCTCTTGGGAAGTGGAAGGACCTGATAGGTCTTGTGAGGCTGTTTCTCGTTCCCTCATGGAACGTCGGGTAACATCGACCCAATAGCCAAGCTTGTCCTCCAGATCTTCCTCTTCAACGATCTGCAAAATCTTTTCCAAATTGCCACCAGCCCGGCGATATACTCGTAGGTAGTCGATGACACTGGCTCTATTATCTGAGCCTGCAGCTGCTTCATCCTGTGCTGAAGACTCTTGTGAGTCTGCGGCTAATTCAAGAACCATTCGATCGGGTTCCGTGGCGTTGCGCATAGCCATGTCTGTATAGGACAGCGCTGATTCTCCATTGTCGATGTCAGGCCCATTGTCGAGCCCAAGTGGCCCAGGAGCCTCTACTCCAGGATCCAGAGTCTCGCCATCAGAATCTGTTCCGTCAAACTCTGGGGTGTCATTGTCATCATGTACCTCTGGGTCAACTGGCTGCTGGGCAGGGGCCGGTGGGTTGTTTTCTTGGTCGGCAAAAGCGGCTCGCATATTGATTTCTGGCTGTTGTTGAACGACATAATCGCGGACCAAAATGACCAGAATAAAGCACACAATAACTAGGACAGTGATGATCTGACCTTCAATGACCGCAATCACCGAGCGGTTTACGGTAGCATTGCGAGTCAGGTTTCTCAGAAAGCCAACGTTGCTCAGCAGGGTCTGTGGTAAAGAGCCGGCCGTGCTGTTTAAAAACGTGATTTTGCCAGCAATGCTAGTGTTATCGATCGGGTCGGCGGCGATGTTGAATGGATACGGAGGGCTTGCGGCACACGTAGGCGCGGGCCTCGTAGGCCTGGTACTACGGGTTGGCTCAGAGAAGGCTAATGAGAACGGTCCAGGACCAAAACCCTCATGGCTAACCCAAAACATGGAGGTCCAAACATGTCGCATGAAATAGGGTAGCCAGCACACCCATACGCTGATGGTAACCACGGCGCGAAGCCACAGCAACACGTTGCGCACAAAGTATTTTGCCATGTGCTCCAGGAATATGTGAACAGGGAGGGACTGCGGCATGTCCGGCGCGTATAATTTGGTGAAGCGGAAAGAAGTCTTGCAAAGCTCGCAGTACTTCTTTTGCGAATGTGAAAGCCATTCCATCAAACAGTCCTGGTGAACATATTTGATGCTGCCGCTACACTTGCAAGGGTAGAACAGGGGCTCGGCCGAGGTTCCCTCACCGCGACATATTCGGCAAATCGCAGGAGCGGCGTCGGTTTGTTGAGGAGCAGGTTTGGAACGGTCGTCGAGTATTGACGGGAACAAATCCTGGCGCCGAGGCGGGGATGAAGGGTCGTTCATGGTGATGTTGGATCAGCAGCCCAGGTTGATAGATGTCGATGCTGGCCGTAACCGGACAACGGAGGGCTATTGACGGCAAGATGGTGAATAAATCATGGGAGGAATTGGTTTCTGCTTGAAATAGTGAAGATGCAAAATAATATAGTAGACTAGGTCCAACGCTGCTATCGTGGGGGGTCGTTCTAATGCGCGTAATGGCGTTGGGGTGAAGTGCGTTATCTGGTGGCCACTTTGTAGGAGATTCCTGCAGGGGAATTCGAGACGGAATCAAAGTATTTGACAGGTGAGGGAGTCGTCAAGAGCAACGTGCTACTCTGAGGGGAATATATCACGCAAAGAGAAAGATGTGATTATTAAACTGTATCGTGTACTGTCGTCAAGTCAAGGGAATAATGCGTTGGTTGGCACGGAGGTGTGAGATAGTTGAGCGGACTTTGAAGGTTGGGCGGTGATTGCGAGGTCTGGTGGCGATTGGGGAATTAAAGTGGGACAGCCGTGAGGCAGCGGTTACACACAAGTGACGAACTTCAATGAACGGCAGAACAAGAGCTGTAGCTCGCATGCATTGCTGATCCCAGCTAGAGAGAGCGGCCAGGCTCCGTCAGAATTCTCGGCACGGAGTAATTATCATATTGGAGAGGCAATGCAGGTGCGATTCACCCCTCGCCCTCCTTGTGTAAATATTCGCTGCTCCAAATGTCATTTACTTGGGTTCACACATGCGACTTCGAATATTCTCGGATGTCATGTAACTGATTGGGTAGGCAGCCTGCAGACCGCTTCGATGAGTTACCGCAGCCGTGCTACAAGGAGGAGGCAGGAAATGTTGTGATATAAGGTACTAAGGTCGTAGTGTTCGATGGCTGGATGGAAAGGCACGACTCGGGAGCCATGGCACTGAACCATGGCGTGCCTCGGAATGTAGTGACCGTCGGGTTGGATGCATGTGGTGCGCGGTGCGTGGTGGTGCGCGGTCCCATTTGAAGATGTTATGATTGCTCGGCATCTGATTGAATACTACTTGACTACCAGAGTCGGGCTGCTCAGAGTGTGTTTAGCTCCAGGCTCAAGTTGAGCGCAAGTGCGCCTCAAGTACCTACTTAAGTACATACTAAGTACTTAAGTACTTAGAGTAAGTGCAGTTAGGTAGTCCAGCACTCGCCAGAGAACCTCAAATTCAAACATTCAACATTCTTGCGTCAACGATACTTGTCGATCATTTGTGCAAGTACTAAATGCTGCAACCGCCCGAGGCCACCCCAGACTCGAAACGCCACCACGTCTCCCCTCAATCACCTGTTTCCTCCTCGACATTCAATCATCCGCCGCCGCACCCTCGACCGTCTTTGACGTCTCTGGCGCTCTGCAATGCGTTGAAACAGAAGCCTGGATTTGCCGCCAACATTGAACCGGACCTGACGCTTCGAGAGCTTCAGCTAAGCTTTCAGCTAAACTCTCCATTCTTTGTGGATCTCCGACCTCATATTGCTCGGCATTTTGCACTCCGTCGTGCCGCAGCATCGTGTCCTCCCTCCCTCACCTTGCCAGCTTGCGCTGTCTAACACCCTGTTGACCCCCCTGCAGCAGCCACTAGACTCCTTCAGCTCCTCAGCTGGCCCTGGTCTGATTGATCTACTGGCTTGTGACGGTGAACAGACAACAGTTCCTGGTGGCGGACGCTTAATATCATCCTGACTTCCCTCCTGCTTCGGATCTCTGGTTTCCTCCCCATTAGCTTCCGCCAGGCTGAGGCAAGCTCAATCAAGCTCATCTTCGTTTGCCTCGCCTTTTTTGCTTTCCATTGCCCCAGTCACCACCTGGACGTGGCCTGCTCCTCACCTACTTCTCTTGGCCTGTTTACCGACTTATCGTATTTGCCTTTCGCTCCGCTCGGACTCGAGTCGGTGTGTCGCTGGAAGACCTTCCCGGTAGCTACCGCTCGAGCTTGCGCCAGCATAAGCATCGTCAATTGAGAAAATTTTGAAAATAGGAAGCAGCTTCTGCAACTATGACGGTCGCTGATTCCACCGCCAATCGGTCTGTCCATGCCAACGGCAAACTGAACGGCCAGGCAACAAGCAAGAGAAGGACGGTGAAGCAACGGGGCTTCTTTGGCTGGGCTTTTAGTTTATTTGCTAGGTATGCAATTGTTCAGTGTATCTCGATAATGGATGGGGCATGGCTCTTGGCCGTCACCCAAAAAATCTTTTGTCATTTTCACAATTCGCTAACTGGTTGTCCACACAGAATTGCTACCTGGGCTGCCATCCTCACGATTCTTTTTCGCTGTCCAACATCCCCCGAAGCCTGCGATGAAGCCTCTCCCTTCATCTGCAAACCGTACTTTCACGTTAAGAATGCCGCAAAACCACATGTACAACCCTATTTCGACCAGTACGCCGCGCCTTATGTGGACCTTGCCAAACCATACTACGACACCTTGAACAGCCGTGTTTTGACACCGACACGCCGATATGTCGTTCTATATGGGACTCCATGGGCCAATAAGGGTTATGGCATTGCTCGTGCTCAGTGGGAGATGAATGGCCAACCTCAACTTGTTCGTCTTCAGACCTTGACCAAGGGTCATTACGAGAAGTCGATAGCGCCTCATCTGGCCAAGGCGGAAGAAGCAGTTGGCCCGTACTATAATGCTCTACGGAAACATTCGCTACAGGCGTACAACGGCTATGTACTGCCCGCCTACGAGTTTGCTCGCCCTTACTTGCTCCGTGGATACAATGCGGCGGCCGAATTTACAACCACCAAGGCTCTGCCAGCTACTTCCTGGGCTTGGGGCAAGGCAAATGCTTTCCTGGATACTGCAGTCTGGCCCCAATTGCGTGTTGTCTATGTTGAAAATGTAGAGCCACAGCTTGTCCGTATCGGAGAGCGACTTGCCCGATACAAGGCTAAGTCTAACACTACTAATAAGGCGTCATCGGATGAGGCACCTGTTAAACCGTACGTGGCTGCTAAGATTCGGACCTATTCTAAGTCTGTCAACGCTAACAGCGAGTGCAGGGCTAGCTCGATAGCATCAATTTCATCGTCCTTCAGCAAGCCTCCCCCGCAAAGCCCGTCTACCTCCGCTACCACGACGAATACTGAGGAGCCAGAGGCTACTGCGGCCGATTCAGACAAGACAGAGTCTCCACAATACTGGAATCCCGTCGAAGCGCCGGCTGCTACCGAAAATGAGAGTGAACTGCGCAGAACTGCTCGAGAAATGGTTGCTAGTGATCTTGCGACCTGGCAAAACAAGTTTGCTTCCCAAGCCGAGGAAGGTGCTAGTGCCATAGAAGATCAAGTCGAACAAATTGCTCACAGCCTGATGGACGAAAATGCTAGAGTGACTGGAAAGGGACTGCTTAGGCAGCTTGAGGACACCATTGCGTTTGAAATTGCCAACGTAAAGCAAAATATTTCTAAAATTATAGAATCCGGCATTGCGGATGCTCACCAAGAGGCAATATCCGCTGTTCGATCAGCTGGGGTGGCCATTAAGAAGAAAGCGCAGCTGATCCGAGGATGGCGTGAAGATTACGATACCGAGCTCCAGGAAGCCGTGCTAAGTGCAGCAGATGTTCATTTTCAAATTCTCGATGAAACACGCAACCTGGCCCTGACAAACATAGGTATGAAGTGGGCTTGGACCGATGGTGTTACCTACAAGGACTGGCAGAAGTACCATGAGCTGAAAGGTGCCCTCAACGATTGGACTGAAGAATTGAAGCAGCTCATTGTTACGCACCCGGCGCTCCTCGAAGCCCAGGAGCTTTCTCACCAAATTGAGGATGATGGTATGACCATGGCCTCGGCTGCCGCTAAGGAGTTGGTTCGGTTAAAAGAGGTGTCAAACTGGAAGATTCTTGCTCATGATTTCACTGACAACTTTGATTCTGAGGAAATGCGCCTTGCTGCTGAGCACGCGGCAGCAATAGCAGCCGCCGCCACAAAAGAGGAAACCGAGATACAAGAGGCCACGGAGCAAAGCCAAGCGGAACGTGCTCCCAACGATGATACTCTGCGGGAGAATGTGGATGAGCCAAATGATCACGAACCGGCCCAGGCAAGTGTCGAAGGACTCACTGCGGATGCTGAAACACCAACCCTTGAGCCACGCGAGGAGCCAATTGCCCTACCTGCTGAGGATGCTGCAATTACTATCGCTGCTGCCGATAACCAGGAGCCGCTAGCTGAGTCTGAAGAAAGTTCAATACTATCAAGCGAAGCCGCTGCTGATACGCATACGACGTCAACTGAGGCCCCGGATTTTGTTGCGGATGAGGAAGATGGGGAAACTGCTACGCCCGCCGTGGAGGATCAACACACTCCTGTAAGCCCGGCCATGTTTGGAGCAGCTGCCCAGTCGGTTGCGGACCGCCACCCAATTCTGGATGACGACACAGATTCTAATGCCTTTGCCAGTGTAACGAGTGCGGCCCAAGCAGCCTATTCTAGTGCCGTGGCCCTTGCTGCTGATCGTTACTCCAGTGCTTTCTCTGTTGTCTCCGCACAAGTGGAGGGTACATCCAGGCCAGTACATGAGCAACTATTCTCGTCTGTTTCCGCCGTTTATGATGGTGCTGTCTCTGCAGCTAGCAAGAAGTTCAACGACGCCGTTGCGGCCGCATCTTCTGGTGTTTATAACACCGCTCCTACACCAACCAAAAGCAACAATCTTCCCGACTGGAAAAAAGTCGAATCTATTGCGGCCCAGCGATTGAGTGAGGGGAAGTTGTGGGCAGAGATTCAATACCAGAGTATACTGATTGCCCTCCAGCTGGCTACTCCTACTCCGACCTCGCCTTCTGAGAAGTATTACGAGCAGGCCAAGTATCACTATTACGCAGGGTTGGGAATGGCGCAAGATAGGTATTCAAGCTTCATGGCCGCAGCCTCGTCGGCGTGGTCATCAGTGACGGCTACGGCTACGGCTACACCTACGCCAACGGACTTTGTGGGATCTGCCTCTTCAATGGCTTCGGTTGCGGGAAAGTCGGCGAGATCTGCAGTCGGTGCGGCCGATGATGCCGTCAAATCTGCCTATACAGCCGCCAGCCAGGGAGTCATGTCGGCTGCCCAGGATGCGGAGGACGCCATTCATCAAGTAGCAGATGCGGCCGCGGAGCAAGTCGTCAATGTTGCGGGCGCAGTTGCGGACACATGGGACGTTGTTGTCTCTGAACTGAGCATCGAAGTTTATGGCCAGCCCACGGCTATCGGGTGGTATGAAGGTGCAACGAAGACGGCTGGATCTGCTGTCACGGCGGCCACTGAGGCGGTCGCTGCGGCCGCAGCTCAACGCTATTATGCCATCAACAAAATGGTATCCGAGCTGGTGATTGGAAAAGAGCCCACATTTAGCGAGAGTGTCATGTCAAGGCTCAGCGCCATTTATTCTACGGCAACGTCCAATGTCGGCAGCGTGGCCAGCGAAGCCAGTGCTGCGGCTTCATCAGCAGGCGACAAGGTTGGAAGCGCAGCTAGTCGGGCGACCGAGGCCGTCAAAGGATCTGCTCAACAAGTACGAGACGAGTTGTGAAGTCTTCACGAAGGCTAGGTGTAAACCAAAGCAAAAGGCGGACGCAAGATGAGAGTATTGGATCTAACGAAATTTCCTTATTATCATTTTTTTTGTTTTATTTGGACGATACCCAATGTCATGCGGTGCGGCTGTCTGGCGAGAATCAACATTGGTTAGCAATGCTCAAAATAAAAGTACACTCTAATGAAGGCTGGATGCTGGAGGAACCGGCGGTTTTGTTGGTTTAATCATGGGCAAGTAAGCGAGAGCCTGGCCATGAGCACCAGTCTTATGGGTTATGAGGTGTCTTGATGAACGCATGGAACACGAATTTCTGTTGGTGTATTACGAAGCGGGTGCGCATGCAACTACTGTACTTGATGAACTTTTGTAGAAACTCTTTGTAAGAGGTAGGGCTGAGATGTATATGCTTTCGACCATGGTGTTGCGTTGCCAGTAGTGAAGCGGTGAATACCAAACCAAATAAATGTCTATTAGTTAGGATCGCGTGTTGTGTAGCCCGGTGTGGGATGTCTATGTACAGTGTCTGTTGATCTGCCCGGATGACAGTTCTGATCTGATGATTCGGTTGGTTACGCCGGTCGTCGGTTGGGCAACTCCACCTCCACACAAAGAAGAGATCCGTGCAAACCTGGCGCCAACGAAGCGTTCACCCGTTGACGATTCTTGGCCGACGGGTGTTGAGGTCCCACAGAAATAGTAGTTAGTAGGTAACTACCTAGGTACCTACCTAGGGCAGCATGTAGTACATACATTAAGTACTTAAGTACATATCAAGTAGTCCTAGCGCCTGGAATGATTGGAGTACTTTTGAGGAGGATAGTCGAGATGCATTGTGACGGAAAGCTCCGCCCGCCGTTTGCCTGGAAGAATAGCGGTACCGGTGGTGAGTGATTTCTCTGGGCGAGATTGTGCGCCGGCTACATGCAAGATGATGTGAGAGGCCTCATTAGGGCCGAGTGTCCGGAGGTGGCTGCGAGCCGGCTGAAAGCTAATTTGCACCACGTCGAAACAGAGAACCACTCAATTGGATCGAGTGGTTTGAAAAAAACAGGTTGACATTGAGCAGTTTCGTCGATGGCGTGTACTCTCGGCTGCAGGTTGATTGCTCGTAGTTTGCTGCATGGAGTAACAGTGAACCAACCGACCCACGTCGTGCGAAGCCAAGCCTCGTGCCCCTGTCGTCGTCGACCAGGCGTTTCCTGCAGGAGAAGGACAGACTGACGTGAGTGACGATGTTTTTGGTGTCTGTCAGCATTCTGAGTGGGAAGCAGCTAGAATTGGCAGGAGCCACCATGGTAGAGGCAATCACGCACGTGCAAAAAAAAAAAAAAGGGAGAGAGAGAAAAAGCAGACACAGAAAACAATGAGACACCAATGCAATATTCTCAGGTCAAGACACACATTGTACAACGGCTGCATCTGAATCAAGTTTGAGGCATAATAAATGCAGGCTGACCCTAGTTCAGGGCAAAAAGTCAATCCATTATCGAGCTGCAATCAGCAGACTTCCGCACCGCCTTGTCCATGCCAATTCTTGGCCACCCGCATCAGCCTCGCATCTTCGCCCTCGTCATCCACTCGTTGTCGAGAACATGTTTAATATCTCACGCTACTCCGGACCCGCCGTCATTTTGGCTCCAAGCGCGCAACTTGGTCCACACTAGCCGACACCAGCGGTTCCTGTTCCTGGGGTCGTTTGGCCGTTTTTTTTGTGTTTTTTTCCGTCGCGGCCAGACTCTGTTCTGTCCTCTGCTTCCCTCCGACCCTCGCGGCTTCATCACTCTTGTTGGCGATCTGGCGACTGCTGCTCAGAACTGACGAACAACCCCGACACCTTGGCCACGCATGGAATACGTGCTCGGTTGACGTGTGTTTTTTTTTGTCTTGGCTAATCCGAGTGCCTTCGGCCAGCAGCCGTCCACCGGGACAATCGCGTCGTGACTGTTGCAGTGAAGTCGTGAGAGCCGGAACCCGCCGCCTCCAACAACCGTCATTGAGCCATCGTCTCTGTCTCGACGAGCCCATTTCGTCGTGGTGGATGGCCTTGGGCGTGCAGCCAACTCCAGACCATTTATTTCCGTGAACCGCTCGTCTCTTCTCCCGGTCTACTCGCCCCAACCGCCCAAGATGGCTTCAACCGGCGTCGACCGCCCTGCGCCGCCAAGCTACTCTGACCAGGAGAAAGCTGCTGTCCTTGGTTGTAAGCTGAATGACGGTTCCCATGCTGAGCCAGTGACTTCTCGCCGACTCTCTCTGTCTTCCGGTTCAAAGCACGACGCTACTCATCGCCAGCTCAAGTCCCGGCATATCCAACTCATCGGCATTGGTGGCACCATTGGCACCGCCCTTTATGTGCGTAAAGAATTGTACAATCCTTGATTCCATTGTTTTGTCTTGTTCGTCAAGTGCTCATGGCCGTGTCGTGCTGCCTGCAGGTTCAAATCGGCAAAGGCCTTTTAAATGGCGGCCCCGGCAGCTTGTTCATTGCCTTTAGTTTTTGGTGCACCTTTGTTCTCGCCATCACCTTGTGCATGGCCGAAATGGTGACTTACCTGCCCCTCTCGTCGCCCTTTATCCGGTTTGCTGGTCGCTATGTGGACGAGGCCTTTGGATTCGCCGCTGGCTGGAATTTCTTCGTCCTGGAGGCTGCCCTGGTACCGTTTGAGGTCGTAGCCTGCAATTTCATTCTTCACTTTTGGACCGAGGCCATACCCACAGCCGCCGTTATAGTCATTGTCATTGTACTGTATGCTCTGATTAACCTCCTGGCCGTCAAGTGGTACGGCGAGTCGGAGTTTTGGGCCGCCATCGGCAAGGTGGTGCTGATTGTAGGGCTCATCATCTTCACCTTTATTGTAATGGTTGGCGGTAATCCCAAAGGGGACCGCTTCGGATTCCGCTTCTGGAACGACCCTGGTGCTTTTGCTCCTCTTTACTACGAGGGTTCTCTGGGACAATGGCTAGGCTTCTTGCAGTGTTTGATCCAGGCTGCTTTTACCATTGCCGGCCCCGATTACGTTTCCATGGCTGCTGGCGAGGCCGAGAACCCGCGAAAGGTTATGCCTCGCGCCTACAATGCCGTCTTCTATCGACTGACGGCCTTTTTTGTCCTTGGGTCTCTATGCGTCGGCATCCTTGTCCCGTACAATGACAAGGAGCTGACGGCAGCCTTCAAGAACTCTGCCCCGGGAGCAGCCGGCTCGCCGTATGTCATTGCCATGAACCGTCTGGGCATCACTGTCCTACCTCACATCGTCAACGCCATGGTGCTGACAGCTGCCTTTTCTGCGGGCAACTCGTACGTCTACTGTGCGTCCCGTTCCTTGTACGGGCTGGCACTGGAAGGCAAGGCCCCCAAGTTCATGACGAGATGCACCAGGAAGGGCGTACCCATTTACTGCGTCTGCTTTGTGCTGTTGTTTGCCCTCCTTGCCTTCCTTCAGCTGTCGGAAAACGCAGCCGTGGTGCTGGACTGGCTTGTCTCGCTGGTCACGGCTTCGCAGCTCATCAATTTCAGCTGCGTATGCGTATCATACCTCTGCTTTTACCGCGCTCTCCAAGTCCAGGGGATAAGCCGCGACTCCCTGCCCTACAAGGCGTGGTTGATGCCCTACAGCGCGTACTATGCGCTCGTGGCCACTGTCATCATGGTGTTTGTGGGAGGATATCCAGTGTTTCTGCCTGGCCGATGGAGCGTTGCCGACTTTTTGTTCTCGTGAGTCTGATCCCTACCCACTGCTGGGAAGTTGCTGACCTTTATAGATACACCATGCTTGCTGTATTTCCTGCCCTCTACATTGGATACAAAGTCATCCACAAGACGAAAATTCTCCAACCGGAGGAAATTGATCTGGCCAAGGACCTGGACACCATTGAAGACTATGAGCGCAATTATATTCCTCAACCGCCAGCGTATGTTTGTCTCTGAGTATTGACGTGTCCCTTTGACTAACTCTGATAGGAACCGATTTGAAAAGATGCTAGACCTGTTGTTTGGATAGGTAGATACCGCACGGGATACATCTAATGAGACAATGTCTGCAGCCATGTTTGTGTGTCTGTTTGTGCCATTCGCACCATCATTCCTTCGTATACTAAAGCTGAAAATCGTAGTCGTAGCTAACCATGATATCCACCTTGCGGGTAACCACCTGGTTCCCAACTCGGCTGCGTACAATACAGAGATGATGCGAGAACGGCGGTGTCATATGCATGAGTGCCGTGGCTCCAAGTGTCAAGCATATTTTCGGATTCGTATCTTGCTACGCGGCTTCCCGGTTGCAACCGCCTTCTTGCCATTTGTGCCCCTTTTCGCTGGCAGGCCATGCATTTGCCGCAGCCACGCACTGGAAAAAAGTCAATATTACGTCCCCGCCGCGATGGGCTCGCTGCTGGAGATGAATACTTCGGCGAGGATACACTCGGTCACTAGCGTCCCGTGATACCGCCGCCATTCCTCGATGTCCCTTCAACGTCATGTCATGCGGCGAAGCTCCCTGGGTATTACACAACCGCTTCTCCACAAGGTTTGCCATGTAGCAGCGGCGTGACTAACACGGTCAAGAGGCTAGACATGTCCGATAGGGTTTACCACACCCCCCCAGGGCTGCTAGCTGAGATTTAAATGCCCGGTCGACCCTTCAGAAACAATTCTTCAATCCGTCATATACTGCCCGTCTCCCCCTTTTCACGGTCCCAATTCCAGAATGTCTCCCCCGCTGCGAACCCTCGGCCGAAACGGCCCGCCCGTGGCCCCAGTCGGCCTCGGCTTCGGGAGCCTCGGCGGATTCTACGGACCACCGGGGACCCGGGACGAGAAGCTGGCCCTCCTGGACCGCGCGTACGCCGCCGGCCTGCGCTTCTGGGACCTGTCCGACGTCTACGGCGACGCGGAAGACCTCGTGGGCGAGTGGCTGGCGCGGTCGGGCCGACGCGACGACGTCTTCCTCGGCACCAAGTTTTCGCTCCAGCGCGGCGCCGACGGGAGGCACACGTTCCGCTCTGACCCTGAGCACGTAAAGGCATCGTGCGACAAGAGCCTGGCCGCCCTGAGCGTCGCCACAATCGACCTCTACTACTGCCATGCCGTGGACGGGGTCACGCCTATTGAGCGGACTGTTGAGGCTATGGTTGAGCTGAAGAAGTATTTTGACCCCCCTTTCTAACTACCACATGAGAGGCGAGAATTTCTCACGTCTCACAAATTTCAATAGCCAGGGTAAGATTCGACACCTCGGGCTCTCGGGAGTCTCGGCCGCCACGCTGCGAAGAGCGCATGCCGTCCACCCGATTGCCGCTCTGCAGTGGGAGTACAGCCTATTCACGCTGGATATTGAATCGCCGGAAAATAATATCTTAACGACTTGCCGCGAGCTGGGCGTGGCCTTGGTTTCTTTTAGCCCTGTTGGGCGCGGTGTTCTCACGGGCCGGTTCCGGTCGCACCGGGACATTCCAGAGGGCGACCTGCGCCGCTTCTATCCCAAGTATGCGGAGGGCAACTTTGCCGAGATCCTGAAGCTGGTCGGGGGCGTGGAGGACGTGGCGAGGGATCGGGGGAGCACGCCGGCACAGGTGGCTCTTGCGTGGCTGCTGGCCCAGGGACCGGATATCATTGCCATCCCGGGCACCAAGTCGGCCTGTAGGATGGACGAGAACGCGGGCGCTGCGCTGCTCCGGCTGAGTGGTGAGGAGGTACGGGGGCTTCGGGACCTGGCGGAGCGAGTGGACATTAAAGGCGCTCGGTACCCGGCTGCGTAAGTGGTATTGGCTTTTCTGTTGCCTTGATCGCGTCGTGTGTTGACTGGTTGGATAGTGTTATGGCGACTCTGCACCAGGATACGCCTCCGTTGTAGGATTTGGGACAGACGCCTGGTGTATCTGTGCCGGGAATGTTAGACCGGTGTTTGATGGGGTTGGTGGTTGCTATAAAAGCCGGATATTGGATGTTGAGCAATTTCGTGGGTTAGAGTGCGCTTGTTAAAGGAGATGTGGACGGATATGCGTCAAGATGAACCGTAATATTGCTAGGATGGGTTGTTGATCTACTGATTTGTCTGCTGCTATATGCTCATGCGCAGAAGTGATAAGCCCCCCTATCAGTCGTGTTTCTCCATGAATCGGGTAAGGAAACCGTGAGCCAAAGCAAATAGCCCTATGCGACTCCGACAACGCTTGAAGAGATGGCGTGTATTGTGTCTGATAGGTCGATACGGGCGGTTTTTATTCTCTCATTCACTCAAGAGACAAGCTACCTGTAACATCAGTTGAAAGGATTAAACCGCTCATGAATACAACGGCAATCATTAGGTACATGCCCTTGGCTCCAATACACATGGCGAGCAACACTGATACTCTGCAAGTACACACAAAGTCACACTCGCGTACTTTGGACATAGTTCCCTGTGTTTTCATCTTGTATATTCCTAATCAGTCTCCCTTGGAAATTGCGGCTTGAGCCATGATTCGACAACCGTCAGCCTGCTACGCTCCCATCCCTCTTATCTGTATGCCTGCTACTAAAGCTCTCCCCATATTCCTCTTTCTCATAAATAGTCCCTTTGTTCTTCTGGAAAGTAGTCGGACCCATCTAGCGATGAAGATAGGCGACTCCTCCACCCCACGCCGTATTAAAATTCAACCACTCCCACCACGGCCTCGTCTGGGATATCGTGCAGGAAGATCCATTCACGCTCCGAGTTGTGGTACGCCTTATCCGGGATCCATATACCCAAACGCTCGGCAAGAGGTCGCAGCTCGCGGAACTCGACCTGACCATGAACCTTGGAAACGTCAATCTTGGTGACGGTAACGTGCTGTCGCCCCAGTTTCTCCTTGCGCCCCTCTGCAATGGAGAAGGCGACGTCTTCGTCATCATAAGCCGAAATAAATGGCGACTCGTAGTTGCTGCTCCAGTCCAGGTGGTTTTGGAGATTCCACCGAAGCTCTTCTGCTTGATTCCCGTACGTGGCACCGAGGTTGATGCCGGCTCTGCCCGCCGCCGATATCCCCTTGCCAGGGGTGGTCACTGCCTGGGAGTGTTCGTCCTCCACGCGGTAGAAGTACCTGTACCTGTACCCGTACTCGGCCATTCTGAAACCAAGAAAAAAAAAGTCGATGCACAGTGTTTTAAGCGCTCAGAAATAGGTTGTTGAGGAGTGTAGTGCGGGGGAGACGCTCGCGAAGATACCCCAGCTCGGGCGCTGATGGGTGCCTGTCAGCACGGATCAATAATCTATTCGCTCAACTACGTACAGGTTACACAATGCGGATATTGCATATGTAGATGATGTGTACGGCGATGCGTGGAGCCTCGCGCTCCTTGTATCCGGATTCCAGACCCGCTTACAATCCTCTCTGTAGCTTGACCACCAACAGGTATCGGGAACCGCTTCTTGGTATCGTCGAGCTCAAGTGGCTGTTATTGCGTGACAGTCGACTGATTCGCAGGCAGTAATATTCATGCTCGTCCTCAGGGGCATCATACCTCCAGTGCCGGCACACTATGGCCACCGTGGACACGAGATGGATCGCTTTGCCGCGGCCTTGCGAGGCAAGACGCAGAACTTCATGAGTACTGACCATGTTTGGACCAAGATGGTCGCTCACGGGCCGCATACAGTCTACCAAGGCGCCTGAATGCCGGACGGAGTCCACCCGGTCTGCAAGTTGGGTCGCTCGGGTTGATGCCGGCCTTGGAGTGGCGAGCGCGACCTGCGGCGCCGAGTCACGCTCCTATCCTGTTGCCATCCCACAGCCCCCATGCTATCGAGGTGGCAGCCAAGCCCTTGGTGCGCGAGTGAATAGAAAGGTGTTGGCAGCAGCATCATTCTCTTGTCGGGCGGTGAAGATGCCAGGTGCCATCTACCTTGGGCACGACTTGCGGCGCAAGGGACGAGTTGACGCCATCATCTGGCAAGCTGGCCGCGGGCACAATACCACGTAGAGGGCGGTTATCCTCGTGGAACACTGCTATAATGGCCTGGGAACTGTCCAAGCGGCGTATTCGGGCTCGGCTCCTAGGTTCAGAGCAGGGACAATGGCGGTCACGTCCCCCTGGCCCAAGTCATTCAGGCGGAGGCACAGTCCCGGGTGCTTGATGCCGACCGCCCGGGCGAGGCCCCATAGCGGCGCGGCGCCGAGTCGCGGTGACCGCATTCCGGGAGACCCACACAACCGGCGGTGCTAAACGTGCGGCCACAGCAAGGCCAGTGTCTTTGCAGCAAAGTACCTTGTCTGGTGCAACATGTGCGCATTGCAAAGCCATAGGCAGTGCAGGCCCGCTACCTCGGTAGCTTCCTCAAGCCGGCCAGCGTGCAGGGCTTTTATGCCATCGCGAGACAGGGCGGTTTCGATCTCGGAAGCCCACGGCGCCCCACCTGCTTTTTACGGTGAGCGGCGCAAGAACGTCCCTCTCCCGACGGCTTTACAGGGCACTGCCGGCTTGATTGTATCGAATATTGCACCGTGTTCTATATTATCATAGCCTTACATTACAAAAACTACAAAAACAACAGAATACGACAGATCCGGCTCTTCTAATCCTTGTATTAAACGAAGAACGATTCCAGATAGCCTCTGATGCAACACGATCCGTCCGAAATCGATATTCCAACCTTCTGTCATCGCTAACACGATGACGCCTAAGCTAGAGTGTCGCCACTTGAGCTACGACGCGTTTATCCCGGTCGGCTCGGGAGGGGTGACGGCCAAGTGAACCAGACGAGGATTCAGTCGACTTACACCCACAAACCACCTGCCAAGTGCGGGTTCCCGGGGGATCGAGGGACTGGCCTATGTATTCATGAAGCGAGGTTAGGCCGTCAGTGTCACCCTCCAGAGTTCGAAATGACCCTCGCGAGGGCTACTCGCGCATATAGTCTTATACCATCGACACGGGGGTAAAGCTCGGAAAGCCTGTTCCCTGTGCGCAAACGAAAATACTCTGGGTTTCGTCACCACAGACAGGCTCGACGGGTTCTGCCCCAAATGCGCTGGCTAGCAAAGGAGAGGCCAAAAGGAAAGCGAGGATGCAGCGTGAGAGGAGCCAGGTCTTTGCTCTAGAACTGCAAGTGTCGACCTGAGCGATGCTGGGAAATGGGAATGCCCCTAGCTGTCGTCCTTGACAAAAAAAATGCTTATTCGAAACAATGAGAATCTAGTAAAGAAAATAGACGGGCAACCAATCTGCGTTATATACAACTAGTCCCTGTGAAATATCCACGAACGCCGCAAACCACACGCGAATACCACCAGGTTTTTCGACATACACCCTAGATGACACCTGGCTAGTCGGTTGAAAGCTGAAGTGGTTTAACCCCCCCGTACCCAGCACATGTTCCTCGAGTCTTGTCGATTGCAGCCGGAGCCGCTTGTAAGATTGACCCCATTAAGCAGGTCGTCCTCGAGAAACAACGCTCTTCCTTCACAGCAAGCATGCGTGCATTTACAACAGCATAGTGCCATGTCACTGTCCATTCTACTACCCAACGTCAATAAGGGTGGAGGCACACTGACATGTGATTGTCATACACGGCCACACCTTTATGCCTGGCAATCATTGTTACACACAACGAGGTTACTCCTAACTGTAAACGCAGCAAAACCAAAAGCTACAACACGCAATGAGGCCCGGCTACATGTAAAGCCAGAAACGCCCTATAGTGTTCAGCTACACCGGCCAGCGGACCGACTCTTCATCCGGTGGTGTCCCATCAGGGCCAAATACCCCAGCAAGCACTGGAATGAGGCACATGACGCTCTGATGTTGGCTTCGCGTATACACAATCCTGCTTGGCCATCCAAGTACTACTGCCACGGAGGACAACAACACAGGACATGCGGGTATGCCCTCCATCAGACTCACAAGCTCCGTCCCAGCAAGTGTGCGCGACGTAGCGAGACAGGAGAGGCTGTGCTGAGATCTATGATATCACTCGGATGTCCGAGTCCCCGGGGGCAATTTCGTCATCATCTTCGCACCACAATCCGGGCGATCAAATAATCCATTGTCATGTGAAAACCGTGCTTGCTTGGCGTCTCGGCCTGTTTGCACAGCGCGTAAACTTGATTGATTCGCTCTGAGAACAAGCCCAGACTCAAGCAGTGCAATATCCTGGGAAAGAAGTAATTGTTTTTAAACGAGTTGAGCAAGTTCTGCCGCTTGCGAAATGTCCGAGACGAGCTGGTCTTGTTGTAACCGCGCTCATTGCTCGCTCGACATAGTTCCGCAGAGATGGGTATTCACAGTGATGTCTTGTTCAAGTCTCCTGTAATTCAACTACTTATGTATTCGCTAGCTATGTAATTATTTTTGAAGCAGCCACGCCTCTGACTGCGATTTGGTCCGCAGACGTGGCCAAAAGATCCATGTACTCGTATTTGCTTCAAAATGCAACCAAAAAAAGGGGTATAGTATAACCCATGCTGTTGCTGCGTCAGATATCCGTCCTCAACATGTCCTGTAAAAAGGTATCCATCTAAAATATCCTGCAGGGGATAAAACATGCTTCCATGGGGCGGGAGTGCTCGCCTTCGTCCCAAACAAGCTCGCTTTTCGCATAGGCGGCGACCTGTCCAAGGCTCAATTCAACACGCCATGCTGGCCCCCTCGTCCAAGTCAATCCATTTCATAGCCGCCGCGCTGTTGAAGCAGTCTCTCATTCACTCATATGCTCATTCAAGTTGCGAGTCTAAACGACAGTGTACGCGGTAGCTCGGAGTGCGGTCCTCGACCCATCCCCCAGAGCTAGAGCCTAGTAGTGTGCCACTCAGATGCCCTTGGCGAAGGCGGGAGACAATTCCCACCTATACAAAGTATTCGTACACCCAATAAACTCTGCGGGCCTCTCAGAAA